TTTCTCCGTTTCCGTTCGTCTATGCCTGGGTACGTTGTATGACGCCACCAGCTCTTAGGACGCACTTTAGTCCTGTGGTATATACGCTATTTTCACTCTGGTAATCAACTACAGCAATTTCAATGTTAAAGTGCAAATTTTAAAGAAAAAATTTGTTTGATTGTAGGTTCAATATACCTTGTAATGTCAAATTGTGACCGTATAATGATAGTCTTAAGAGCCCGCGACGCAAACCATCACCATTCAAATAGCAGCATAAAACGTATACATGAACAAGTATTGGAGGTGACCATACACGAAACGCTCGGTCTGTCGGACCGCATTTAGCCGGAAGGTAAACAAATTCAATTGTTTATTTGTATATTTCATAAGAAATCATTACTTTTAAGAAAAACAGGTAATATGTGGTACCAAATTAAAGCTCTTGAGGTCAGCTGCACAAATAACTCGGTCTGTCGGCCGGAAGTCCTTGACAGACCGACATTTAGTCTGCTGCTAGAAGCCGACATTTCAGTTAGTTATAAATTTCTACGGTCACTCTGATCCAAGCATTTTAGGTACCAAAGAGTAAATAACTATAAACCTCTACAGCGGATCTAAAAAAGCGACTGAGCTCCTCGGTTTGACCCTACTGGATCATTGAACATTTAGTCTGCTGCTGGAATCCCACAGTTAGCTCAAAATATAAGAGAATCATTCAATTCAAAAACAAAACGGTACAAGCTCTGAAGCTCATCGATGAGATTACAAAAGCATGTCCGCTGAAGTAATGAACCAATTGTAAAGTGAAGAAAAGTATTAATTTCACATTTTGGCGATAACTTTTGTAGAGTTAGGGTAAGGTAACTGCACACCCAACAAACTTACACAATGTAAATTCGTCTGGGGATTACCGCTTAGTTCCGAACTGCGAATGCACTACAGATCAAGAACGATTTGATAATGTTTAGTGACTATGCTCATACGCTATTTATATCACAGCAATTGCTTCTTAACCTACTATTCTAATGAAATAGGAGGTGCTGATGCGTCGACCTAGTCAAGAATGCTTACGATTGTTTTGCATCGTTTGCTGGTTTGTTTCCTAATGTGATTATTGTTCCTCGTTTGGCAGCGTTTTGCTTATTTTGGTTTTTAATTAATTGTATCCTTGACTTGAATTCTTCCTTGTTACCTTATGCTAACGTTCCTAAATTTGGGCTGGCGTATAAATCCTGTTCTAAATGAACAACTTTTCTTCACTTTACAATTTATATTGTGGGATTCCAGCAGCAGACTAAATGTTCAATGACCCCGTAGGGTCAAACCAAGGAGCTCAGCCGCTTTTTTAGATCCGCTGTAGAGGTTTATGGTTATTTACTCTTTGGTACAGAACTAAAATGCTTGGATCAGAGTGACCGTAGAAATTTATAACTAACTGAAATGTCGCCTTCCAGCAGCAGACTAAATGTCGGTCTGTCAAGGACTTCCGGCTATTTGCCTGCCGACAGACCGAGTTATTTGTGCAGCTGACCTCAAGAGCTTTAATTTGGTACCACATATGACCTGCTTTTCTTAAAAGTAATGATGAAATATGCAAATAAACAATTGAATTTGTTTACCTTCCGGCTAAATGCGGCCCGACAGACCGAGCATTTCGTGTATGGTCACCTCCAATACTTGTTCATGTATACGTTTTATGCTGCTATTTGAATGGTAATGGTTTGCGTCGCGGGCTCTTACAATAATGATAAAAATCAGTTTGATTTAAAGATTCTAGTGTAAAACTACGGCGTAGACATGATCGTTTAAAACTCTGAAGAACAAGCTATAAGGAAACCTCTCAAATTCATAAAGATATTATATGGAAAACGGTATAGGTAATATGTGTAAAATATGGTCCAAGAATAAAAATGTACATATAAAGGTAACAATTAAGCATTGTGTTTGACAATTCTGTACTGTACTGTCACTTTTTGTCCCGCGTCGCGTTTACTCCCTCCTGGAGGAAAAGTGACACTTTAGTCCCTTAAATGAATGACAAAACACGTTGATTTAGTCCACGGAGCACAAAAATACTAAATTTCAACCGCTGACATGGTAAAAAAGAAAACTTTCTCTCACATGGAGCTCTCTTTTCGTGATGCTCTTCTTTCGCCTCAAGCATGATTTTTTCACGTCATTATAACCACATAGCTCAATCGCATTTTCTCTTATATTTAAAATGTTTAATGTAAAAGCGTAAATTCAGCTACCTAACTTAGAAAACTCTATCATAATAAGTTTGGAATACGCCCAAGTGGCCAGTCTAGTTACTACTAATATTCTCAAATGCAACGTTGCCAAATTTTATACCATGGCTTGTACCTAATTATAGACATTGATATACCTCCTTAGACTTTGATGAACTTCCTGGCACCTTACACCCACGTCAATAACCACAGTCTATGGAATCTAATCTGTAACTAACGATTTAAATTTAATCAATGCTTTAAATTTCATAACTCTTCAAAACGTCCAGATAGCACTTAAATGCACTCGGCCAGAAGTTTAACATTCTAACACATAATTTCACATCTTATAATTTTAATAAATAAATTTACACAAAGGATAAAATTTAAACAAAAAATTAAGCAATTCAAAACAAAGCTAAAATGGACAAATATACATCAAAATAACAAATTCCGATCAAATAAACCAATTCCCTGCTTACTCGTAATAAAATCCTCCAGATTTAAGGTAAATTAAAACATTCACACATGCAGGATTGCCCGTCCTTATCTTCGCCATTATTCCAACATAACGAACGTCCAGCTGTTGATACAACAATATACATTAACCACACATTCTCCATGGGATTTTGTATTTCCATAGAATGTTGAAAATGTCCTATGTATGTGTATCTGGGATGTACGTTTCATAGACTTCATATAATATAATACATAGTATATACGTTTTGGATGTCTTATTACATGTATCAGGCATGCTTCGTATATTAGCATACTGATAAGTAGATATACCATGAATATTCCAATAATATGCAAATAGATATTCCATGTACTTTGTATACATTCAAAATAAATGTTCCATAGAGGTTCCTTTGTTCTTCAGGATGCATGTTATCTACATTACATCTATACATAAATTAGAATTATTTGTGTAAGTGTGGTAGTATACAGGGTGGTGTTTCTAAGTGGACCATTAGAAGTATCTCAGGAACGGTTTGGAATTTCGATTCGGGACCTATTAACTTTTTTGAATAATCGATGAAAAGAATCATTTAAAAAATATTTTCAGTATCAGAACGATACCGGAACTTTCTTATTTCAAATGGCACTACCTTTTCTGATAGCATTTTCGAATTCCTCATAAAAAATCAGTATGACTTTTTCAATACGATGCTATGTCTAACTGAGATGTTTCGAAGGTATTTCGCGTTTTTATAATTCACGGAAAACGCGCCGCTAACGATAAAGTACCGTCGGTAATACAGAACACCTCACAACATCCATAAGGTCCATACCCTATAATCTCATGTATATACGAGGGCTATCCAGAAAGTAACAGACGTTTTGAAATAAAAAATTAAGAAAGTGTAAGAAATAATTTTTATTATATACATTATTTGGAAGCTTTTTTCAACATAGTCGCCATTCATATTGAGGCACTTATAGCGTGGAACAAGTGATTTGATTCCAACTTTGTATAAATCCGCCGCCTGAGTCTTTAATCACTGGTTAACGCTGCGCCGGCTTGAATTTCGGCATCACTGTGCAAGTGGTGCGAGCGAGGTCTTTATCGCTGGGAAGAGGTGGAAGTCGCTTAGCGCTAGATCCGAGCTGTATCGAAGGTAATTAAAAATCTCCCATCCAAAATTATCCAAGAGCTGTCCAGTACGGTTGACGGTGTGCGAGCGGGCGTTGTCATCGAAAAACAAAACTTCCACCTCTTCCCAGCGATGAAGACCTGGATCGCAACGCAGCGGTTCGATAGGGACACCGAACTTCATGCCAGCGTGCAGGTTAAAATCTAGATGTCCCTCTCCACAATACTCACTTTTTCGAACGGTCATTTATTTATCAGTTTTACTACCTGCTACAATAGATATTTTAATATATTCAAAAATTCTCCTTCGTTATCGTCTTTAAAAAAAAAATACGAAGTGTAGGTTATTAAGTGAGCACTCATATTAGATTTGTAAAAAAAAAATTTATTTTATATGTATGTGTATAACGTGTGAATGATACACTAGGTTGAGTGGTAGAGCAACAGTTGTACGTCCAGGTCAACGTGTTGAACTCCGCCTAGATTATTTTCGTTTTAATTTTATTTACATTATATAATTTCGTAATAAAGGCATTATTATTATTATTATTATTATTATTAAAATCTCAGGCGGCGGGTTTATACAAAACACTATAATAAGTGCCTCAATTTGAATTGCGCCTGTGTTGATAAATAACCCAAGAGTGTAGCTCCCAAATGTATATAATAAAAATTTTCTTTACAATTTTACAATTTTTTATTTCAAAACGTCTGTTGCTTTCTGGACAACCCTCGTACATAAAATGAATGAATGAATGAATAATCAATGTAGATATAGTATATACATAAGATGCACATTATATTCGCTGTACATTTTGGGTGTAAAAGGTACATACATAAGATATCGAATTCTACGTGGGAAGTAAAATAGTTATATTAAGTTACGAATGGTATACCTCCGAGTATACTTCACATTCGACACACAGTGTCGCCAATGCCATACGAGTAGCCCAACTTAACATCTTATTGAATATTAAACTGGTAGCATGGTGCAAAAGGTCCATTTGGTTCGTGTAACTCCCGTGCATAGTATGTGTTTCGTTTAGTCAACACTGGGGATGCTACTTATAGTAGTAGAGAGAGGCTTCAAAAATTGTATTCTAATACTTTTTATATTTTGATATAGCAATACGTTTTCATTAACTTGTAATTTTAATTGTTGATGTTCACTTATTTTAACCAATTCCTCTTTTCAGGTACGAGACGGTTATCGTCTAGAGAAACCAGAACATTGCAGAAGAGAGTTATATAATATAATGTACTACTGCTGGGACAAAGATCCAAAACAGCGGCCATCCTTTGAGGAGTGTGTGGAGCTGTTAGAGAAACTAATAATAAGTGAAACTGACTATATAGAATTAGAGCGGTTTCCTGATCATTCCTACTACAATATGACCAGTTTAAGCGGAGAGAAGCTTTAATAGAAAGTTTACTGTTAATTACGTGTACTTAAAACAACAGTTATGTACATATTGTACTCATTCATTCCATTAAGTATAGGCAAGTAGGTAGATATTCATTCTAGTCTCTGCGCTATTTGTAAGGATCACTTATTGCTCACTCCATACGGTTGTTAACTTCAATAAAAAATTGCAGCTTGTTTATATGGTGTATCAAACATGTTTCAATGTTAATTTACTGGTACTGTGCACTGGCATTATTCTTAAAATTGTGCAAATTAGTCTTTCAAGATATTTATAATTATAGTGTTCCAACAGTAAAATGCGTTGATTTTTGTTTCACAAATTAATGTTAATAAAACGTTTCAGTTTCGTCTAACAGAAATCCTTACCAACGGAAACAGGTCATAGCACCTAATTGGTATACCTCAGGTATACCTGACGCTATTGTAGAAACCAGGGGTGTAAGCGGAATATATAAAAGGAAGTAGGTATAGTGCTTTAATATTTTGCATCCTTGTTACGCTCAAACTGTTTTCTTATTTTTTTAGTAAGGGTGTCGATTTCGTTTAAAATTCTATTATCGCCTTTTACCTCTCCAAATTAATCCTTTTTATTATTACGTTTTCGTATAGAACAATCACAAAAAAATATCAATGGACCACTTTTTCAAATTTTTGCGTGGAAAACTACTGCCAATGGATCCCGGCTTACTTTGAAGTTTATCTATGGATACATTGCATCTCATTAATTTAATAATTGCCTTCACTACGCTAAAATTGAATTATTGGCAGCCTTGGCTGTAGATAATTAAGACGAAAATAAAAAACGAAAAACTTCAAAAAGTGTATAGCATAATTTCTAAAGCAGATAAGTTCCCTTAATTGATTTTAAAAGAGAGTTCCTTTCAATGTTCAAATAGGATGGTGAAAACAGTTTCTCTTTGTTGCTTCTACTTTCGTGCGAATCGTTACCATTCATTAATAAATCCGCTTAGAAATTTAATTTGAAATTCCTCCAGATTTTATGTACAACACGCCTCGCATTTAATTATAGAAGTAAAATGCATAAGCTATTTAATGTTAGAAGCCAGCCCGTGGCTATTACATACCGTCAAAACTTGGCAAGTGAAGGTGTAGATAAATTGATTTATGACTTGAATAACTTCAGAAACTAACCTCCCTAAAATTTTTCTCTTCGTGGTTTTCATTTACGGGAAAGCGGACGTAAAGCAGTCGCTAAGTTTTTACGGAAGCAAAGTCTAACAATTGAAATATTTGAATGAAACGCTTTGCGTAATAAAGGGGCAGTATTTTGAAGTGCCGTTGAGTAATAGAAAACGTGTTGCCTGTAATTGGGAGAGTAGGACAGGACGTGACATTATGTTACACTTACGTCATTTTTCCACACCTTATTATAGTTCTTGTACCAAGGTGGGTATTTATTGATTAGACGAATTGGATAAGGTATTATTTTGCCCATTTTGTGAAGCCGCAACTCTCAATGTAACAGATTCTGGAAAATTGACAAAAAATGCTCGCAAACAAGTTGGCGGGGTGAAAATTTAACCTGTAATTATGTTCATTTTTCCGGTTGCATTTTTTAGTTAAAACCAGATCACATGACTAAGTTTCATATGAACACCACTTTTCAATACAAAATATCAGTACGGGTAAGTACAAGCGAAGGGATAAGAGATCGAAGATTTAGTCGTTTAGTATTTTATAATACAAGAATCTTTAGCATATTATAATGAAAAGAAGGACTTAAAATTGTTCTGAAAAATGAAGGTTTTTAATCGTTTATTTTTCCGAAACTGAGTGCACTTTTAGCTTAGCTGCCCTGTATGGTCGTAGGAGAAAGTTAATTTTACCTTTATACTATACCCTTAATTTACTGAACGTAAATGCTAGTAGATGAAAAGGGCCCGGTCCCACGACTTGCTTATATAAAATGGAGGAAGAGTGTTGAACGTACAGTTCTTAAGTTCTTTGTTGTTTTGAAATTATTTAGATTCAACGAACCTTTTTAATACATCGGTCCGGCTGTCCCATTCCAAAACACAGTAACCAACATTTTTTTCGAAAATGAGTTATCACCTTCATGTAGATACTGTGTTAATTCTGCATCTTTCCAGCCATCCAGGATAGCTCTATCTATTGTCGTTACAGCACCGTCCTAAAACTATATTTACCTATTCCTGACTACACCTTTTCCACTTTTATTCGAGAAACTATCAAGTTAATTTGAGAAAGTATCAATTGTATTTGAGAATAGTAAAATGTATTTGAGAAAACAACAAATGTAGTTCAGAATAGTGATTTGTATTTGAGAAGGCATCAAATGAATTTGAGAGTAGTAAATTGTATTCAAGAAATGGTAAAATTAAGCATTTGAGAATCAATAACAAAATCACATGTACAACATAGCCTGATGCTGCTGCTGCTGCTGTTGCGGGACTACATACAGTAGCGGAATTATAAAATTTGATTCTTAATTATAATTCATTAGGAATAATATTACATTCTAAAATACAATAAAATTAAATGATACTTTCTCAAATACAATTGACTATTCTCAAATACATTTGATGTTTTCTCAAATCCAACTGACTATTCTCATCTACTTTGACGTTTTCTCAAATACAAGTAACAATTCTCAAATACAATTTACAACTTCTCGAATAAAAGTGGAAAAGGTGTAGTTTAGGTATAGTCAAGTCAACTCACGCCCTTTACTACTACTTTATTAGCCCGACTAAGTATAATGTGTTAAAGTTGCAAACCAATCGTTTAAACAAACGAACTTGTGTGATTAATTAATTTAAATCACCCTTAAGGCTTATGTTGACGATAAGTAGTTCTGCTACCTTTACGGTCCCTTGCTTTCTTTATACTTACATGCGATCACTCATTAAAGCTCCTTTACGCGTAAAACTTATAAATTCAAATGTATGGGAAAAGTAATGTAAAGAAAATTGTTTATTGGTAAAACAGGATCGAAGGGAATAATTTCAAAAGAATATCTTATTTGAGTTGCTGAAAAAATCTCCCTCTTTGTTATCCCTGCGCGAAAGCAAATTTGTATACAAACGTCGAATCCGAATGGTCATCATTTTGTGTGTGGTATGCCGCTGTATAAGGCAAATTTCATTCAATCTATATCCTAAGAAATAATCTTTCAGTTATTTCATTAATAGAAAAATGCTTTCATTTTATTATTGATTTTGCGAGTCCTCGATGCGCTTTTACATTTATTTCTTTGAAACCAACCTGGCATGAATAAGTCTACAAGTAATTAGTGGAAATTCAAATTAAGGCCAGTTTGAGTTCTTATCAATGAAGATGAAAACAATGTCAACACCCACAGAGTGAGACAGAAGAGGAATAGGACCATGCGCTTGAAGAACGATACGCTCGCTATCTCAGTAGTTGGAAAGCGCTAGATTTGAAAACAACTCTTAGAAGTAAATTTGCCGCAAGTGCGTATTTTACAATCTCGTGAGGATTATTAACATAATTTCCCAATTAAACTAACTAGACCTTAAGAAAGGCAACTTTTGTCTTCAGCGGTGGCGGAAATGTCAGCCTATAACGGGAAGTAGTTGACTTAGTTTACGCTCAAACTTTCGCGAAACTTACGAGTTTCATAATGAAGGCAGTTAATTGTAATAAATGTCCGTGGTATAGTGTGTTGTTCACTAACTGACTATAGTGTTGAAAATATAGAACATGGCGTTGACTAGTGACATTTTTATTGAAGCCGTTAGTTTCAGTAATGACTTGGTAAATAAAAGTGACAAAGAAATGTCTCAGCAGGTACCTATATTAACTCTTTATTATTGTTTCTGAGTATCAATAGAAAACCATTTCGACTATAAGTTGCATTCGTTGGTGATTTCTACCCAACTTAATAAAGTTTTCGGAATTACGCACATCTTGCAATGGAGGGATATAAAACTTCCTTGCCGTTCAGAATATACATACAGCACTTTATCCAAAATGCATTGGGCTACAGTAACAGCTAGCCGAAATCTTCATTTTAAAATAGAGATTAATTACTGTTCCCTTTATAAAGTTGTTGTTGAGATAATTCTTTACGTAGGTACCAACCTACTAAAATACTAACGACGATGCCACCTCTATTTGCAAAGCAAATCGCAGTGCCTTCTTTCATTTTCTCATATCCAAATACATATTATGACGCTTTTTTTTTCAGAAGTTGCACCCTTATCATTAACAGCTAATCTGTAATTACCTTACGCATATATGTTTATTGTTTATAAATACCACGAAAAGGTCAGTTCTTTTATGAAAACGGAAAGCTCAAATTCCGATGGACAGTGAACGTGTCGGTAAAAAAACCTACAACATTCAAAGGGCTTTCTTACTAATTATACTTCAAAATTTGGAAAAACATTGTTAATTTAGTTAGAAAATTATTCAAAAAAATTACACTATGGTACCTATCTTCCAATTATCATTTTAAGTTTATAAGATTTTTGGAGAGGACGAGGTCGTAGCATGATATAATAATTTATTTAGAAAATAATACAGAATTGGCACCATGTATTTTAAACTGGAATATTTCAGTTTCAGCACATTATTAGTCGAAATATATACCATAGCATCGACACACGGACACACGAAAAATAACTTTGTTTATAAATCAGTCCGGAATTTTCTGTACATTCCGACATTCAGAAACACGGGAGTTCTGGATGCCACAAAGGTATTATTTCTTTTCCATCGCGAATATGACTTTGGCCATGAACGTAATCTTTTAGAAACGATTTATAAAAAGCTCAATTTCCTACGACTATCTTTGAAAATGACATGTTTTGTCAAAGTAGGTTGGGGTGAAAATAGTGTATTTTATTTAGTTCTCAGAAAATGCCGCTGAAAACAAGACGCACACGTTTTTCGAAGAAGAAAATAATTCTGCATGTTGAATTTATACGAGGTTCGTCAATAAATAATTAATAATAAACTGACATGTTAACAAAACAGAATTATTCTGTTTATTCGTTCCCTCATCGTAACAAATTTGAAAATGTACATAGGAACCATTGAGGCGTTAAATGAAGGAATTTCACTCATCGATATAACCGAGAGGAAGAGTGACACATTACTCAGTCTCTCAAAATCAGACAATTTAGTAAATGGAGTACAAAGAAACATTTTTCAAATTTTAAGAAGTCTC